ATACTAAGGTTTCGAAATCCAAGGCCTCGAATACCAAGACCTCGAAATGCAAGGCCTCGAATACCAAGACCTCGAAAATCTAAAGCAGCGAATACAAAGGCCTTGAATACCAAGGCCTCGAGATCCAAAGCCTCGAATACCAAGGTCTCGAAATCCAAAACCTTGTAATCTATAATGGACTCCTGAACTCTTACCGATTTAGACAACAGTCACTTTCAGACGCTTCACTTTCAGTCACTATTCACAACGACGATCTACGAAAAGAGATTCAAAGTTTCCAGTCATCCAAGCTGGTGTCATGGTCAGTCACGTTTCCATGGTCAGTCACGTTCACCATCATCCTAAAATCACGAAACGGCGATGTTCCATCGGTGATCGCGAATTCGAACGAGGCAGACTTTCGGACCTGGGTGGTAGCAGGTTATCTCGGCTGTTGGCCGGGCTGCTGGTTGCATGGGCGGGGGCAGGGTCGTGCAGACGGCCCCTCATTCGCTTTCCGGGTGCCACCCTTCTTTTCGAGGCTGCTGCGGCATATCCCCAGGCCAGGCTGCGGCAATCACGCACGTGCTCGCGCATGCGCAACCGCGGCATCGCTACACGCATGGGCGCGAGTACACACGGGTATACGTTATCCGTGGACGAGCGTGGGCGGTGGAGATCCGAGGGGCTGCCGGGGATACCCCTATTGCTCGGAGACGCTCGAATTGAATGTCTTCGCGACACTGCCACGACTATCTCGCCGCTATAGTAATGCATGTATCGCGGCGAGTCCCGATAATAATCGATAGGACAACCATAGCTGAGGGAATTTTTTATACCGACGAAAATTTTCAGCTGTTTCACTTTTTAAAAAGTAAACCAAACGAGAAACGAAAACGGAAATTAATGAACTAGATAGACTCGCGGTGTTTGACGAGATCTGAATGAGTTTGATGACCGAGCATCGCGTTATGAGTGAAGTTAAACAGTCGATGCTTCGTTTGATGCACTTGGGGATCAATCATGTCGAAGTTCGGTCCAGAGCAATTTTCGATGAGGTCTACTGCACTGGCGTGAACATTTTCAGCTGCAGTGTATTTGGCAGAATTTATCTACGATGGGAAATGCACGGGGTGTTCCATTTTAGTTTGAATATCTTCAAAGTACTATTCCACTGTTCGCTGTTCTTTTTATCGCGTCGCTGACGACACATGTGCTTCACGGAGGCCGTTTTCGTTCGTCCAATGAACTCGTCGGGGGATCGATGCGACGAGCCAATTAAATTTACGTCGACACAATGGAAAGGAAGTTTGTCGGTTATCGTGGTAAATTGTGGTAAATTGGTCTGTGTGGTGGTCCCTGCGCGTTCTCATTTCAGACATTGAAAAAAAATCGCTGGAAAGTTGTATTAAATCGTTCAGGACTCACAGGGTAAAGCTAATGCTACGTATTGGTCGGTTTTATCAGCGTGATTCATAAGCAGTATTATCTTTCTATTTCTTTCATATAATATCCAGCAATAGGTATTCCTCTTCGAAGGGAGATGATTTATTATGCAGACTGTATAACCGGTAAATTTATGCATACAATTTTGCATACGTAATAAGAATGAGATACTGTCATCGCCGTCAAGTAACAAGTTTACCTCGACTCGTTGCCTATCGTTTGTTTCCTGCGTGAACGATGCGTTTCGCGAAACACAGATAAATATACGCGTGATAGCGAACCTGTAATATCTGAAATATCCATTCTTTGGTTTTTGAAAATTGGAACATTCCGTTACACTGTTCAGGCCTTCCGTCGAGAATTTACATAAAAACGGCATCTATTTTTCAACTATCTCTTGAATTGTTTAAGTTAGGATAAAAATTGCAGGGACCATTTCGAGGGGAAAGCAAAGAGGGTGACTTTTCGTGGAGGAAACACGGCATTATCGTAAATTACGAAACATTTATTTATTGATTTATTTACTTCACGATTGTATTTGATCGGTCTCTACGATCAATATAAACATAAGCATCGGACTGTGCCCAAATACGGTTCTTATCGTACAGGCTATATACATTATCGATAGAATATCAAGGAATACAATGTCACACTTAATAGAACGTTCTCGTAAACTCGTGCGCTCGTTTGCTTAAACTCGCTAAATTACGCTAGGACCGCCTTTCGCATTCCGTCTGTCGTTCTTTAGAATTAACGTGCCGCTTAATAATCCTTAGTACCTCTACGTTCCTATATTAAATCTGATAAACATATCGTTTTGGTATATCGTCACAGCGACTCTGTGCATTTAATCGTTTGATTGCTACTCGTCTCCGCGGTACAGCTTCCGGTTTGTCCGTTCGAGGGCGCGGTACCAGCATTTACAACTAACTTGGTCGTTCTTTATACTTTCTCGATAAAAATAGACATTGTATCTCGGAGAAATATTTACAACGCGCGCTCGTGACGCGAACGAACGCTACTCACAGATTCTATTTCCAACCGCAACGCGAAACACGGGAAAATGGTGCCCGTCCACGACGATCTTCCTCTAGAGTTGGACATCGATTTTGTGCTTAATTTTGTAATAATTATTCACAGTCGTGGGGCAAATCGGTAATCGTAAGTCGATATTTTGTAATCTTTCAGAGCTAATCGCTGCCGATTGTTCGTTAATCGTTAATCATAATTACCAATTAATTGTTAATCGTTAGCAACGGTTACCGATCGTTTATTAATCATAGAAATCATTGGAACTGATTACGCGGTAATTCTAGTCGTAGATTACTCTGCGCCCAACGGCTGTACTCGACGCGCCGTGTCTGACAATGACAGGAAACATCTACTTCGCGCGAACCAACGAGCTCAGATCTAGCAAAGAACGCTCGCTAAGCGAAGAGCAATTATCCAAATAGCGAAATTAACGGAATCGTTGAATTGTACCAACCAAATTTTCAACAAATTGAACCTTACCGACTTCTATTTTTATCGAAATGCGGCTAAACCCGCGTCGAAGCTAGTGCCAAACGTTCTACCGCTCTATTTTTCGCTCCCAAGCCCCGTTCCTCTGTCTGGTTTTCTCATAGACGTTCTCACGCCTCATTTTACTACGTGTAAACTCTTTCAGCGTCAGAGATAGGCAAACCTCTTGCCTAGATACGAATCTCAAGTGACAAATAAAAGACACATTCGTTAAAAAACAATTTGAACTCAAATCATACATTGAAATTATAATTTACTTTGAACAAGTGAAACATTGCCTCTACAGATGTTCGATCGAATGAATCATTGTATGGAATTAAATTCCACCCATCTCTGAACAATATCAAACTACTTGCTGGCTGAATCGTGATCGAGCGCTTCACAACATCGGGACAGTCCTTTCTCGAACTCTTAAAACGTCAAGACCGCACACTCACGTAATAACATACGAAATACGATGCATTTTAATCACAATAGCAATAAGACTTTCTTTACACGACTATATACACACACACACACGCACGTGTCCAGGTGTTTCTATGTACAGTATCGCGGAACATTGATTTCCTTTTGTCGCTTCGTACCGGCGAGACTTCCTCTACGAACTGGGAATCGTTTAGATTGCGGGGGGTGATTACTTATCGGATCACAGCATTCGACAAACGAAAAGTCATGGCCGAACGTTCTTGGGAAGATCGAGGGACTCTATTTACTTTCGACGGTTCGGGACTCTAATCGCGCGGAGTGAAATATCGGGCTACCTCGACTCACCAAACTGGCTCGAGTAACGCTAAAATATTGCTCAACTCAAAACAAATACAAACGACGATAGGACGAGGCCGAGGCTTATCGAGAACACGCATGGGTACTCCTATCGTCGTTTTCATTTATTTCTACAATTTGGCAAGCATTATTCTCAATCCCGTTAATCGTAATAAGAAACTTAGAATTACAATCAGCAGTCACTCACCGAACAATTGTTACACGCAAAGAGAGGCTGGTCACCCGTTCACAGAGTCTCGAGTCATTTTTCACTGCTTTTCACACACCTCTGAACTGTGAATCCTCACCAAGTCACCGAGTTCCAAATTTTTCTCACTCGAGAACGCCTAGCAGTTTATTCTCTCACCGTTTCGTCGCTCGGTCTTCGAATACTCCACGATTTCGGTTAAACTACTTCGGCAAATTCTGAAGGACCTCGCGACGAGTCTGAGAAACTGGAAGGATCAGTGACTCTTACGCTGAAAATAAGAGGAGTCTTCGACCAGTCCGTCGTGCGAAGAATCGGGTGGAAGCTGCAGGCCATCCTTTGCGTATTCAAATCACCGTGGAATCTCATCAGAGAATATCAATCCGCGCCAATTCAGGTCCTAGACCATGGTACTTCATGTTGGAGTATCGCGAGACACAGGATTCGTCGTTGCTAGCCGCTGACGATTGCAATCGTCCAGTAGTTTATGTCGTGGCTGCTATTTCCGTCATCTAAGTATCCCGACGATCTTCTTTTAAACTGATGAATCATTCATCACGCAATTACTTGGAACAAAACATCCTTAGATGCAAGTCTGACTGGTCAAAGAGGTTTTGCACAGTGATAGAGTTGATCGGTAGCTCAACTTGTGCAGAATCTTATTGACCAGTCAGACCGGCACCTAAAAATCATAGTGGACGATCCAAACTCGTCATAGTTCTTCCTCTTCAATGCTCTCTCCTATGTCTTTGAGCTAACAGTGGGTCGCAATGATCGCCACACTTTTATCTCTTCGAAGCGGTACTGTGTCTATCGTGCCAGGTAGAGTCGAAACGACTCTAGAAGCCAACAGTGACGAATCTTCCGTGAAAACGCGATAGTCTGGAGCAGTCTGGTTCCCCATGATGTTACAGCGCCGTCAGGCCATAGTCGGACTTTATCGCCGGTGGCGGGATAGGCGCTGAGACCTGCGACAGTCCTGACGGACTGGTCGCCGGCGCGAGAGGACTGATACTTCCGGTGCCTATGTGTCCCAACGGCCCTCCCGTGGGGCCCTCCATCATCCCGCTCACGTGATGATGACTCAGCTGCGCTTGAAGATGGGCCAGCGGATGCGGGTGACCTTGGAAGCTCGGATGGACCACGTTCGTATGCGGAAGAGCAGCGTTCACCGCGTGGACGTCCATGTCCAGGCCGACGTTGGAGTCCATGCTGCTGTCGATACCGCTGGACGGCGAGTTGTTGTTGTTCTTCCTCTGATTGTTGTTGTTCCCGGTGGGCAACTTCGTCCTCGAGGCGGTGGTCTTGGACGGTTTCGCGGACGGCGCCGCCTGGCCGTTCGCGTTCTTCCTGCGGACGTTCTTCGTGTTCGGCAGCTTGTTGTCCTTCTTCCACTTCATGCGACGGTTCTGGAACCAGATCTTTATCTGTCGCTCGGACAGGACCAGGGTATGAGCGATCTCGATCCGTCGCCGTCTCGTCAGGTACCTATTGTAATGGAATTCCTTCTCCAGCTCGAGGATCTGGTGCCTCGTGTACGCGGTCCTCTGTCGCTTCGGCTCCATCCCCGGCTGGTACGAGCCGTTTGCTGCAACGAACGAAACAGAGATCGGTCTGGGTTAGTCGTTTGCTTTGGTCTCGGGCTGCGCAGGGGTCACAGCGACAAAATTGACCGTCGGGACGTGAGTGCGTTTGGCGTCGGAGCGCGGCGCCTCGAATGACGTCATACGGAGGATTGGCTAAATTTGGCTGATGAGATACAGGGTGAACGATAATGGAAGATTGCGTGCTTTAGGGTAGCGACAATTGTTCGAGTTCAAGAGAACTTTCGGAACGGAAAATGTCGTCGAATCTATGATAGATGCTAATTTTTTATTTGGAAAGCACTTGAAATTAAACCTACCACGACCGGTCAAATGACCGATATCAAATTTTTGTACGCAGTTCTTGTATATCATATATGAATTCATTTCAATTCCACGTTAAATATTTTTGCATTTAACCAAAAAAAGTGTCTTTAAGATTAGTGTTAATCCTGCTTATTAGTGTACTAGAGGGGATGGAGGTAGAAAAAGGTTTGAGATTACGTTTGCTTATTCTACAATACGAATCACTAGAAGAACGAGTTTCTCATGTCGCAACCGTATCGCGGACCTTGCACCAGTGTCAATACTCTCAAAGCGACCGAATGCGATCGTCGTGTCACCGTCATCGAGCAAGAAGTCGATGCTGCGGAGCAAACGATCGCCGATTGGAACAGATGAAGAGAAACGTCACGTACACTATCAGCGAGGCGTAATAATAACCGGCTCTACATTTCACAATCGACGGACCAATATTCCAAGGCCGATCTGTTCGATAGTTGTCGAACTTGAACGACGATTACGGAGGGCGATTTTTACCAATCGGAAAGATTCAGAAAACGATAACGTACACGTATCGCGTGGATATTAATTGGCATCGATCAAGCATCGCATGGCAAATAAAATTTTGTCGTTATTCCTTGAAGTCTGTTTCGTTATCAGATGTTAACGTGAACGAGCCTCGTGCCTATCGATGTTGCCGTATCATTATCAGATCCTGATAATCATTTTTTACTTGCCAAGATATCAGACGAAGTGCAAAGGTAACGCGGAACGTTCGACGTTCGTTTAAAGTTTGCTTCCGAATCGTCGATTCGACTCGTCTGTTGTATCGTCTCGCTTGTCATACTCTGGTTCACGGTTTCATAATATTACTTCTGATTCGCTGCGTATCTTGCCGTATCGCTATCTGAAGACTCTAACAAATGTCCTACGAGAAACCATAGTCGTGTCCCGTTCGTCGCTACACCAACTTGTCAAGCGGATAAAGCGACTCACGAAGAGAGATTCGTGCGTCGATTCACGGTCGTATCAAACAACGTCAATCCTCGTGTGGCACGCTAGAAGCGTTCCTTGGTGGTCCGAAGGACTCGATAGAGGAAACATGGGAGCGAGTTCAGTTTCGAATCTGTGCAGACACATTCCATTCCAATGCTGACCGACGGTCTCGGGAAGCCCATCCTAACAGCGGCGTCCGGTGAACCTCGACATCCAGAGGGGAGATATTGCAGTCCCCGACAGCCCGACGGACACGCATACCAGACTTTAGAACCGATGGACATCCAACTGAGAATTCTAGACCAATCATTGTTCCTGACCACTGTCTCTTATTTGCCAAAACCCGATGATACTCCACGGGAAAATTATTGAATACGTGTCATCGCGTGTCTCGACATCGACGGACCAGAAAATCGTTTGAGAGAGGAGAACGTGAGACGTGGAAGAGGAAAGAAGTCAGAAAACCTTTAAATCCTATACACATGGCAATGGAATTGGCCGTAGTGGATTGAATATATACAGTCAGTCTCGTAAGTAGTCGTACTTCCTATATCTATTCAAGAAAGTCTAAATTAAATGTCAAGTTTCATGTTTTCAAATAAATTTTTATTATAAATATATACATGTGTAAAGCCTGTGCATGTAGATATTCTTAATGGAACATTTATTTGAAAACGTCAAATTTATGATGCCTTACACTTAAACTCGTGGAAAAAATAAAGCTAATTAAAGGTGTAAATCGAAATACTACCAAAGTTTTTCGAAGAAGAAACTTTGAAAGAGAAAAACATGGTTGAATCGGGGCTTGAAAAGCTTATTTCACGAACGGTGGGCCATGTTTCTTTCACGGACGTTATTTTTTGTTACCTGAAAATATGAATTATGACATTCGGCTTTTCGGAGATCGTATCCCCGGTAGAACGGGCTCAAAAGAAATAGTTGCAAGCTGGAATGAACAGCAGTTTCCCCTTGGTCAAAACCGAATAGAATTTTGAGGCTGCAAAGGCAGCCCAATTCTGAAGGATATTACGTTGCAAAAATTTCCTTTGAAGATCCATAATCCTTCTGCGAAACGCCTACTGGAACGCTCGAACCGTGTTTCATCCGCGCCATTCTTATCGACGTGTTTTCAATGAACATTATTTCTGGCTCGTGTGTCACGTATATCGTTGTTTGCTGATCGATCCGTAAAATGTGAACGAGTATCTTCCTTTATACCTTTCGTAATGACTCTTTGCATACCCTCTCTTCATCCCCTGTGCCCTAAGATATTAACCCATTGCACTCGAGTCCTTTTTTTCTGGTATCTACCAGCAAATCGAAATGCTTTCTTAGCATTCTATTTCAAATTCGAGAATCAGGCCACCTGTAAACGTCGAAACAGTAACAGGTTAGATGCTTCGACAACGAATCAGAGTAAAGGTTCCTTTTCGTAGCAAAGACACTTTGCGCCACCTGAAACATACTCCTAGAAATTTGTTTCACTCGTGTGTTCGGAATCGCTTTTCAAACTTGTTGGTAGATCGGTGTTTAGGGGACGAAGAATAGCGGACGTTAGGCGTAGCCGAATAGCTTGTAAAGTGTCGAGCTTCTAAAATCTCTCGCAGGTGATCGGAAGGTGCAACGATAAATTGCACCTCATCAGTCTTCGAGCGCCTCTGTAACGCGTCACCTTGCGGCCACGATGTATTAGTTTCACAGGTAAACCTTGCTACGATACCCGCCTTATTCTTTTGTTGCGCACCTTACACGTTTAGCTCATATTTCCACTGTCAAAGGTCCGAAATCGAATCATCGGAGTAGCGGTATTTGAGGGTTTGTCGTAGATCGTCAAAGTGCACCGTGAAATTACATTCAGGTGTGCGTCTTTTATTAAAATTGAGTGTAGAAATTGATGGGTGCCGCGGCTAGAATCGATGCCAAGACGAAGTGATACGGTAGATTAATCGGAGCATGGAGTGGTTTTTAAAAAATAGGGCCTAATTCATCTGTAGGTAGAGTTCCGACGGGCAACTACCGAAACAGTCCACCTTGTTCTCCAACTATAAAATTGGAACACAGTTTTTGAAACGCTCAGTTATTAACCCTTTGCATTCGACGACAGTATTGTTGCAGATGGTTGACATTTTAAATGACTAAATCTTCTACGTGGAGGCAAAGTGTCTTACTACTATTCCAAATTGCACCAGTTTACAGCTTAGGAAGCTATTTATGATCGCTACGAACAGTTCAAGATTCAATGAAATCTAAGATAAACGAAGACAAGCGCTTCCAAGTCGCCTTTCTAAGGGTTAATACCTGAAACATTCTTAAACGATCAAGCCAGCATCGAAATTGGTCCAAGACGCGACGACGAATTTCCAATCTTTCATTCCCATCGATAACGGTCTACTTTCAATGTCTCAACTCACCGACGCCAGCAACGTGAATCTTCTTCATCCACGGATAAATCACACGATCCCCGTTCTCCTCGTCGTCGTCGTCCTCCTCCATCATACCAGGCGATCCGTCCATCATCTGATCATCCTCCATGTCGTCTTGATCGGAACCGTCGTCCACGTGATGCTGCGACTGTTGTTGGCTCTGTTGTTGCTGCTGTGCGTTCTGTATATGCTGAGACTGTTGGGCGGGCGTCGGTTGCTGCTGAAGATCCGGGGAATTGTCTCGATGCAATTGACCGGGATTGGCGGGGCTGCAAGCGTTCGTTTCGTGGGGCGGCGGTTGTTGACTCTGTTGCTGATGATGCTGAAGGCTGTCCGGCGGTTGCACGTGATTCTGCATGATGCCGGGCGACAGAGGAGTAGAGCCGAGGACAGTGGACGCGGACACAGGTGGTTGCTGCTGGGGTTGCTGATTCTGCATAGAGGATGGACACGTGAGAGGCGGCTGTTGGGCCTCCGGCGGCATCGCCAGGGCGCCCACCGCGTGGTGATGAGGATGCAGGCTGGCATGGTGAACGGCGTGCACTTGGTGATGAGGATGATGCGGGCCGTAATAGCCGCCGTAGCCGGCGTAACCGCCGTTCAACTGGACGGCGGATGACGCCCCGTACGGAGTTGACGCCGCCTGATGATGGTGCTGATGGTAGCCGTACTGCAACTGATGAGACTGCGGGTGATTCAGGTGATGACCGCCCCCGCTGGCGGGAAAGAAGTCCGCTCCGGTTGACGGAATATAATTACTCTGGCTGTACTCCTCGCTGGGTGGAAACTTCGGGTCTACCATCACGGACGTAGCCGCCAAGTGATGAGCGCCTGCCGCTTGCTGATGCTGGTGATGATGATATCCACCGCCGGCGGATGGATTCATCAGGAACGAACTCATCTTTGCGACGGGTCCTGTTCGCGGCACACCTATACCGATATCGTTTCGCGACGGGTCACTCGTATCGACGACGGTCACTGTTCCTTTTCGACAATGTCAGTTCATAGAGTCTCACGGTTCCATGTTAATATTCATTGTTGGAAGCGTACACACCGCACTGCACTCTGGCCCGTGGCCGACATCCCTCTCCCCCGGCCCCGCGAACCGAACAGGGTGACTTTTTCCGCCGGAGGGGAAAGGGTGCACCAAGACGGAGAAGGCGGAAAAAGGAGAAAGATAGGGGGAGAAGAGAAAACGAGCGAAAAGAGCGAGACCACGGAGAGCAGCAGACTCCCGGTGGACAGCTGCTTGTCCTCTCCTCTCCTTCCGCCACTTTTGCGATCTTCCACGAAGCTCCGCGGCCTCGTTCGCTCCTTCCCGCCCACCAAAGCCCAATTACCATACCACGTGACCGCGGCTCCGACCAATCAGAGCTGCTCCAGGTCCGCGACCATGATGGATAACGCGGCACGCATGCAACACGTGAGTGGCGCCACGAGAACCACTGCGGCAGGTGCACCAACTTCTTCCTCCGTGTTTGCTCCGAAACCGACTGTCACCAATTCCGCTGCGCACCCGTTCGCGGAAATTCGATATCCCTTGGACTCCTTTTCACCTCGACACTGCGAACTCTCCGATCGATGACAGGTACGCGAAACTTGTGAAAAATGTCACCGGTTATTAGCGCGCTCTGTCCCCGAAATAGTCCAACTTGGGGCTCGCGAGGGAGGCGTCTATCTCGATGACGTTTCGATCACCAACACTTGTCCGCGATTCGATTAGATTCTCAGTTCACCGCGCACTGGTCCGTCGGAGCGACTTCTCCCGACGAACGGAATCCCGTCGACCGACCAAGCTGTCAGAGAGCCATGAAAGTGAGCTCGTCCTGCCTCGGCAGAAACTCGTCTGGCAACTCCGGCCTGTTCCTAACTCCCTCCAGGTTCGACGAGGCCGGCTGGCTTTGAGCCGTTGCGGAGAGTCGGGACAGCCCCTCTCCTCGTCGCTCCGCTTGCTCTCCCGCCGACCAGCCCCACTCTTTGGAACCACGAGACCAACCCCTGCCACGGAAACCGTGGATCCTGTGCCCTTATGGGGCCATACTCGAGGGTACTACCTAGAACCGTATAGTCACTCCTACGGATCTCCTTAACCCGCCTCCATCCTTCTGAAATCCATCTTAGCATCGTGGTCAATGCTCGCTGAAACGTCGCCGATCGCCCTGGACTTTATTGAGATCGCGCGGCTGGGGTTAAACCATATCGCGATGACAATCGAGGGACAGACCTGTTTCTTCCGTCGGATCAAGAACAATCAAAATGCAATAGATATAATATGAAAATAGAAAACAGGGAGGTCTCGTTAGAGTATATCCATTTCAGTCTTTCGTTTCGTACAGGAAATCATGCATGCGGGTACTTAAGTCGAGGATAGCGTCATCGTTCCCTATTCTCGACTTAGTTGCCCGCAGATATCATTTCCTCCAGATCTGCTAACACCGAGTTTCTGAACAATCTTGTCCCCAAACAACCCTTAATTAGATCATAGATAATAATCGAGAGTCGCAACGGTGCGCGGAATCAGCCTAATCAATACTCGAAGCATTTGCGATTTACGGGCACAACGACTTTCTATTGCACTGCGCCATGAGCATTTTAACGCCACCTCTTTTGCGTGCTTATTACGTAAGACGCCTCGATGCGGCCTCAAATTGAAAGTAATGGCACCGACGTTCTTTCGCGGTGTGTTTATATCAGTGCTCCACAAGTGTCTCGGTCTGCACTCGGTCAAGTACGCCTACTTGCGATCAGCTGCGCGGAGCAAAGCATATAAAGCGCCGAGTCATTATACAAAGAGCACACTCACTCTGTTTTGCCGCGGCACGACAATGCGCCGCGCTGAGCTTCGGTCGACAAACGACTCGGCAAGACGATCCGTATTTTACTTTTACTCTTCGCGGTGACTCGGTGATCCTATTCCTCGAGAATGTCTTCGAGTCCAGGAGCAATCGTTGCCTACGGTGCTTAGGAGTGCCGACGATGTTGGTAGCAGATAGTCGCGCAACGGTACCGGAAAATTGGAAGAGTGGTTCTTTGAGACTTTCGTAGAAGTTGACTTCTGAGGTTTAGGAAGAGGACTTCAGACTGTCTATGAGGGATAAGGACAGGATGAAAGTACGTGTGGTAGTGGTCCTTGAACTTTTGTGGAAGTGAACTTCTGAGGTCTAGGAAGAGGACTTCAGACTGTCGATGAAGTGTAAGGACAGAGGATGAAAGTAAATACGATATGTTCATAATGAGTATTTTCGATTGAAATAGTTGTGTGATGTGAGTAGTTCCATTTCAAGTAACTACTTCGCCAACATGAATAAGTATATCGAGCACCTCTAAATCCTCTGTCGAGACGCAGAGATGAACCGTCCTCTAAGACCAAAGCTCCCAAGATATCCGCGCTCGAGATGAAACCCCGAATGTGTTACAGGAAGGCAATATTGTCGGTCCAGTCGCAAGGGTGACGATAAAGCCAGCGTCGCAATATTTCCCGGGGCAACGAGTGTTCGCAGAAGAACGCCGAACTTCGGACGAACAGGATGGAGCGGCAATTGAGCGGACGTTGAGAGCTGGTCGCTGGTTTTTCCGCGAGCTCTCCGGACTCTGTTTTTCGCTAGGGAGGGATACGACGAGGCTGTTGGTTATTTCTATTTTTCTTATGGCCACTCCATGCCGGCCCCTAGCAGAAGGGGACGCGCGGCGTCGAGTGGAATCTGCGAGGGGGTTGAAGGGGCCATGCGGATGACGCAGGCGACGCGAAGCGCGATCGGAGAGGATGGGACGGACGTTGTCTCCTCGTTTTGCGGCTCAGCCTCTCCGTCTCTATCGGGGTCCACGCTTCGCGGACTTTCATCTTTCTTCCTCTTCTTCAGCCCTGTCCCAGCGTCTTCTGGCTACCGCTTCTTTCTCCGTCTTTCACCCGCGTCTCTTCCCTCCCCTGATTCCGCTCGAGTCTTCGCCGCTCCTCTTCTCTTCCGGCGAAACACGATCAATCACTTTTCCCGGCGAGCCGGCATGACACCCTCCTTTTACACCCACTGCCACCCCTACAGCCCGGAGACCGTGCCTCGTCAACGACGATTCCCCTCTCTTTCTTTTTCCCCGTCCCTCTTCTCGCTACCGAAACGATGCGATCTCCCGAATGACGATTACCGCGAGATCGCCCATGAGACCCAAGTCTGGTCCCACCACGTGTTCCCTGCTATGGTTGTCCCTTCTGGGGACATCCAGTGCGCCAGGATCGCTGAAATTAAGGGGTGGTTCTGTTGCGATTGTTGCTACGACCTAACATAATCCACCCAGTAGTGGTCTCGTTGGGAGAAAAGTCGCACGTCTCGATTTTCGATGAAATTCAGCGACGCGAATCGAAGAGACAGTTATGCGAAAGCACACTCGCAGGCAATCACGGCTGTTTTTGCCCGCGTTGCGAAAGAATCATCCTCCGCTGTCGGAACGCTTTCCCGTGGAAACCCGTTTGGCTGGAATTCCCCGACTGGCGTCGAGACGCGAAAGAGTCGCGGGACGCCGAGTTCCGCCGTGATAATGATAAATGGGAACGTAGTAGTTTACGATTTAATATCAAACTCGGCCGAGCGGCTGCTTATTATCGACCATTAGTAAAGTTTTAATAACGCAATACGCTGCTTGGCCCGGAGGGGGTGGGTTGGAACCATCGCGATTTATCACTTTCATCGCTTTATTACCGGCGTTCCGTGCTACGCTTTACTTGTTGATCGTTCGTGACACGACTGAAGCTTTTTGGGGAGGGACTTGGAACAGAGTTACTTCGGTATTCGTAATCTTTAGGCTGGATCGTATGAAAACGTTTGCGATATACAAATCGAAGGAGTTGAACAAATATGGGTTAGGTTTGGGTTAGTTCCGATAGTTTTGGAAACGACGCTTTCGCCAATCGATATTAAATAGCGGTGAAAATATTTTCTAAAAGGTCCGCGAAGACCTGATCCTTGGGGATCGATCGATCCAGAATATTCAAAATATTTGGGAACTCGCGAAAGAGATTCTAGCGAGATTCGATCCGGTTCACGGTGGAAGTCACGCTTGCTTCTCGGAGTTTTCGAATTTATGATAGATCTCGGCCATTCTCGCGTGTATTTTGCGTCAAGGTGTTGGCAGCGGATCCGTTCGAGGCGAAAAGCACGAGTCTCCGGAGATTCTATTTGCTGAATCACGATCTCGTGTTTGTCGACGTGAAAAGGGAGGCTGCGTCCTCTTGGGGACACCCCTGTGCACCTCTGAAACCCTATCGAGCTCGACCTTCGAAAGGTCTGTCGCTCTTCGATCCTTCCATCACCGGTGTTTCCATCCTGAAAACCAATAACACGCGGTTCACGCGAGAATGTAATATCGAGTGATACTAAAAACGAGCTAGGGAACAGTTGTCGGGCATCGACGTCGCTTTAATAACATATAATCGACCTCGTTTCGAAACAGATGTAAACTTACCGACAAAGGAAGTCGTCGAGTCTTCCGTCGAGTTTCATTAGTTCCTCAATAACAGCGTATCTGCAAGTATCCAGGCCAAGGAAAGTTTAATGGATTTCAAATTGCATTACAATGAGACCTGGTTTAATCTTAAGGATGCGTTCGTAAAATTTAGAGTGCTCAACTAGGTCAGCGTAAATAGAGATAGGTGAAAACTACTGGTGAAGCTGGTCGTTTCGTGTGCCTCTGGTATTCCAGCAAAAACAAAAGATTCCGTTTACATTCCTAACTAATTGAAAGTTATATACACGAAAGTATACGTTTCAATGTTTTCGAATCAACAGACCACAAAGTCACGATCATCTCGCATCAACGGCTCGTACAAAAAGCGTGCAGGATGCACGGAGCGTTGACTGAGTAACGTCAGCTCCTAACAGCCGAGCATGCTTCGAGTCACGGAATCGTCGCAGCCCGTTGAAAGACGCAATCAAGCTCTCGAAGAGCGTGTTTGAGCAAGCCAGGGCGACAAGAGGAACACGTGTTTTTACTCGGGACGAACAAGAAGCCTAGCGGACCGACGACAGCATCGGAACAAGTCGGTGACGTCCGCAAACACAAGGATCCATCCTCGGAGCAAACGTCGAGTGAAAGTCTCAGCTGCTCGATCAACAGTAGTTCCACTTGCGCGCCACGCGAGGAAAAACGAAAGAAAAACGGGCCCGGGAGTGCGGTAATTATCAGTCTACGTGGAGAAGGTAACGACGTTAACGCGACCCCTGAACCGCGACCCGCGAGCAATTACCACCTGACATCGCCGCTTGAAAGCAATTTGCGTGCACTGGCCAGACTCTTCCGGCGACGCGCTCAAAGAAGTCCTGGGCTCAGCCCGGGAGAAAAAGCCGCGTTTATAGCGGCTTACGTCGACAGTCGGGCTCCTCGGACGAGGAAGAATAGCCGAGCGAGTCGTAAAAGTGATTCATCACCTTTCGCGGCCGACTCGCGGAGTCGTTAGCGACGATCCTCCTCTCGGCCGTCGTGACATCCTTCCTCGAGCAAGCACAGAAGCTTCGTCGCCCGTGTTTCCCCGCCAAGGTGCGTTCTGTGCTTAGGACTCACTCGTGCTGTTGTTCGTAGCAGATAAGTTGGCAGTGTTAAAAATCAGTATGTCGGGCGATGAGTTACTAGTGAATTCAACATTGAGAGTAAGCTTCATCCAGAAACGTGACAACCGAGTGTACAAGTGTCGAGGCAACTGTCTCTATGGAGACCCTGAAGTCTGAAGAAGCTAGATAGTTACTATCAAGTGGACTTCTAACATCACACGTCGAGGCTCTCTCGTGGCATCGATTTTCCGTTGCGTGACCGTTACTAAACCTGTGATAGAGGTGGTTAAAAATTCCGTGGAC